GTAGTGCACAAGTTCATGAACATTGCCAAATAGGCGGTTGCCCACGTGCTCAATGAATAGAGTAGCAACGTTCACTACGTACCCTTCGGTAGGGGCAGGGGCAATTACAGCGACCTTTTGCGCAGATGAGGAAGCCATAACGAGTGTGCTTCACAAGCGTGAGCAATTAGTTATATAGGTCGTGACTGCCAATGAAAATGAGCAATCAGCCAATATCTTTGATGACCGATCACTACTGTAAAATGAAACGAAAAAAACATCCGACAAAAATAACAAAAATGAGTATCCAAGAAGTTGTGGTTGTAGAGATATTCGAGATCGATCCACTAGCGCACAGTAAAAATGCCATTAGATGGCTAATGTTCTAATTAGATGAACAACAAAATGAGGCGGAAAATGAAGAGGAGAATATGTTCCAGCCTAGTTTGGCGGACATTTTCCGAGACTGGATGATTTCGACCAATGTCCCCTTCAGTACCGTGAATCGCCTGCTTGTATCATTGCAGCATAAGCTTCCTGAACTGCCTCGAGACGCGTGGACACTGATGGGAACACCCCGGTCATGTCCAACCAGAGAAGTCCCCCCAGGAGAATACATCCAATTGGGCATTGCGAAAGGGCTTCGCTGGATTGTGTCGATGTACTTGCCACCCCAACCTCATATTATCCATTTACATATGAATGTAGATGGGATGAAGCTGCACAATAACGGTACAATCGTAATCTGGCCTATACTCGCACGTATTGTGCGGCCTTTGACTAGCCCGGTACTCCTTGGTGGGCTTTATGGAGGAGTTCGTAAACCCGAGGCCGTTTGTACATACCTGCATGACGTAGTACAGGAACTGGAAGAGCTGCGACTGGGAGTTGTCGTTAATGACCTGCATCATCAGGTCGTGTTGGATGCAATTATTTGTGACAAGCCGGCACGCTCCTTCGTCACACGAATGAGAAGACACAATTCCTACTATGGTTGTGATAAGTGCTGCATAAAGGGACAATACTTCCAAACGAAGATGACGTTTCCATATGGGCAGCATGTTCTGCGAACTGACAACAGTATACGTCGGGATACTCGGAACAGTCCGTCTCCATTCTTTACGTTACCGATCGATTTCGTTCATTGCTTTCCCATAGATTATATGCACGCCGTATGTCTCGGTGTTGTCCGTAGATTAGTTTCCATTTTCGTCAACGGTGATCGACCCGTACTTATCGGGTCTGCTGGCTTGAACAGGGTAGATCGCATGATTCGAAATATACGTGCCCATATGTCCGTGGAATTCCCGCGTAAGTGCCGGGGAATTACACTTTACAAACAGTGGAAAGCGACTGAGTTTCGTCAGCTGCTGTTTTACATTGGTCCCATTGTGTTTAAGGACATTCTTCCCCATGAACGTTATCAAAATTTTATAGATCTATTTATATCCGTGTATTTTCTTTCTCAGTGCTTTAAACTGGATTCTAGAAGGAACGTGGACAACTGTCGGAGGAAGGTCATTCCACGCAGCGCTGCTGCATTTACCGGATGACGTCTCGTCTCACGGGCCTCTGGACAAGTTTTCAGCATTCCCTTATGAGTCTTACATGTTCGCACTTAAGCGTCTTGTACAAAGTCCCACATATCCTGTTAGGCAGATTTATAAACGCCTGCAGGAGTCAGGATCGTATCTCACAAACGCCTCAGGTAACCATGCCGATTGCGATGTGGGCTTTCCTTTGAAACAAGCATCACTGAACAAAAAGCGTTTCTTTAATCTCGATAAAGTTGTCTTATCTGCCAGTCCACCGGATAACGTTGTTTTGGTAGATGGTTATCCGTGCATTGTGACAGGGGTGGAACATCCCGACACGGCCGACTGCATAATTAAGTATGTTTCATTTCTCTCCCCCGTTCTACCACTCTTCACCCATCCCATTAATTCTCTTTTGCTAAATATTCTTGTGGTGAACAAGTTGTCCACAGTTGTAAGTAACTGTCCTCTCTCTTTTGTGCAATGCAAGTGCGCCATGCTTCCATTCAATGACTTATTTGTAGTTTTCCCATTATTGCACTTTATACCGTAATGTTTTTATAATTTGATATGCCGTATCAGGCTTACAGTCTTGTGAAGTTCCATGAACAAGGCCTATGGCAGTGTGCAATCCTCAGTTCTTCATGGATTGAGGGTAACTGCTACATGGCCAAAGGTTCACTCGAAGGACTTTCATAAGGCCGTTCGCCTTCATGTGCAGCCTGCCAGCTGGATCAATGAAGCTGAATTGCGAAGTCATTCGGACTTACGGTAGGTGTCATGTAGACCGCATTAACTTTTCAGATGATTTCAAAAAGGCCCGCGAACATGAGAGGAAGTTCCAGTACACATCGGATCTGGAGACTTCGGATGTAACCATTGAGATGGGTGGTAACCATCCTCGTCGAAAGTAATACTACCGTGCGTGTTGTCAAGACTTCTTTTAGGAATACCAGAGAACGAAGCCCCTCCTTCTCCATCAGTCCATCACCGAAAAAACCAAGGTTGATGGTGCCACAATCCCCGCCTTACCCCAGCTTCTCGCAGGCGACACCCCGTGCCTTGTTCTACTCAACTCCACAGCGCATACCCCAGCATCACGCAGCCGTCCCGTCCACATCCAACCAGCCCGTATATATGATGCCGCACACGGTGCACCGTCTGCCACAGTACTCTTTAAACACCGCTCCGGAGATCCCTATGTTTCCCGTTTTATCCCCACCATCTGCCCCTTTCTTCCAAACCCCAGGAATCGCAGCACTGCTCCAGCAGAACGAACAGCTGCATCGAAAAATGGACGCAATGGCGGAAGATCTTCGATACCTGAAAATCCGCATTGACAACTCCTTCTTACAAGTCCATAGTTCTTTTGGAGCTACCGGCTTTACTTTTCCCCTCCGGAGCTTTAAAGCTCTGGTGGACGTCGAAAGCTCGGAAGATGGATAAGGCTTTTGCTACCGGAAACAGCCGTGCCTTATACCAGCTCAAACAATCAACTGGCCATAGGAGAGCAGTGGTCAGTGAGACGATAAGTGAAAAATGCGGCTCATTAATTCACCCGCAGCAACGTTGACTGGTAAGTTGGGCCGAACACTTCGAAGAACAGTTTGGCTAGCCTCGGAAGGCAGTTCAAATGGGCGAACTGAATGCAAACCTTGGTCACCTGTCTGAAGAAGAAATAAGGTAAAAAACATCCCTACTAAAGCCTGAGAAGGCACCAGGACCGAACGGTCTCTATCCAGCCTTCAAAGAAGGCAGGGGATCCCCGACGGCCAATTTAATAAAACTAATTGGTGCGATATGAAGTGGAGGGAAGAGGCCTACTAATTGGGGCATGTCGACAGTTATCCCCCTGTCTTAAGAAAGGGTACGCGGAAGCTGTTTGAAAACCTCCGTGGTATCAACCTGGTACCTGTGGCATCGAAGGTCCTTTCTGGCCCTGTCCTACGACGGTTGACTGAACACAAAGAGGGGAAGATCCGCGAAACCCAATCTGGGTTCCGTCCTGCAAGAGGATGATCACATCTTCACCCTCCGGCAGATCCTGGAACAGCATTACTGCTTCCAGAAATCGAAAATGGTTGTTCTTTGATCTGGAAGCTGTCTTTGACTCTGGACCGTCAGGTACTAATGCAGTGTCTATGAAGTAAAGGTGTTCCCCATAAATTCTTGGTCCTACTTAAGATTCTGTGCGCCAAATCCCGTGGCCGTGTGAAGATCTACTGGAAGCTCTCTTCTGAGTTCTCCACGTCAACTAGTGTCCGGTAGAATTGTCATCTTTCACCTTTCCTGTTTAAACTCGTCACTGGTACCATTACGAAAGACTCACTATCAGGCTCTAACACCTGTGGGGTCGAAGTTCTCCCGGGACGTTCGCTCACAGATATCATGTATGCAAACCACATAGCTCTGATGCCGTGGTAAAGCAGACAATGTTAAATAATTTAAATAATTCCGCCTCACAGTTTGGCATGGCCTAACACCTAAAAAGTGTTAAGTGCTATTGCAAGACTGGGTATGGTCGAACCCTAGTCTCATGCTTGCAGATGAGTCACTTGAGGGAGTAGACAAGTTTGCATACCTGGGGTGCTGTATCAGTCCCGGTGACTTCGCGAAAGATAATATTTTCATTCGAATTGGGAAGACCAAGGCAGCTTTCATGAACGTGCGTCACCTATGGCGTAGGCGTGACATCAGCTCATCCGTCAAGTGTCGAATTTACAATGCTTTTGTGCGATCAGAAACCTGACCGCTGCGCACTGAGGGCGTCAAAAGACATTCAGTGTTTACCATCGATGTCTTTGGAGCATTGCATGAGTCTGTTGGAACACCGGATCAGGAATGCTGAAATACGTAGAATAGTATTCGGGAGAAATAACTATAGATGAACTGATCACACTGTATAGGTTTCGCTGGCTTGGTCGCATGCCCCAACCGAATTCTTCGAAGAGCCCTTTGCGCACAACCACCTGAGGGGTGTAAGCAAGCCAGGAGAGGTCAAACAATGACTTGGCAGTGAAGTGTGAAAGCCATTACCAGCGAACTCAGTTGGGCTGGTCGTTGCCGTCATTCTGGATGGGAGCTCCGTGGCGGGCCAGATCAATCGATAGAGGTATTGTCAGACGTGACCCAGTCGTGCATCTAAGCTATTGCCTTCAGTGCACAGATCCATTCCACCCCCCACTTAACAATACTGTATTTACGCACTAACTTATCAGCTCCCGCCTCCAATGCGAATCCACCTCGCCCATCTTCCCAAATCACTGTTGGACGAAACTGTTGCAGCTACAACCACTACGACAAGTACGCACTTCCTACGACTGAGATTAATGATTTTGATGATGGTCTTGTAGCACTTGGTTCACAGCTGGGTCTTCTATTCCCAAACATATTTGTGGGGTACCAGCTATCAGCTTGCACAATCAGTGAATGTAGCTCTTACCGGTGCTTACCTATGATGTATTTTTGGTGGCTTAGGAAGATGTCACAATTTCGTCACTCATACACCAGCAGGTTTTCGTTCGTGAATCAGTTTACATACGAGGCTGAGGGTCAAGATTGACTTCTTTTCTTCGATTTTCACTCGGTTAGGCGGTCCGACGGTTCGTCACAAAGTTCGATGCACCGAAATCCAACGTGGATAGAGTGGTGTACTTATTTATATAGCTTTTTCTCACACTAGGAACGCAATTTAATTCGTTTGTCCGTGAGAGCGTGAATGATATGCTTGGATAACGCCGTGTAAATCATACCAGGATTTATTGTTAAAATGTTCAAACAAAATGGGTACCCGACAGGTTTCTTCTTTAAAAACATGGTCAATTCGTCGGCGCCGAGTGCAGATAAGAGACGTGTCATTTTACAACTCCATTTCAAGGGAGCTTCGCAGCTGAACATGTGCACCCTACTCCAAAACACTGGCTGCCTATCAATGGAGCCAGTGTTAGTGAAAGCATTTCACAAAGTTTAAACCGAAAAACAAACTGCCTGTACGAGACCAGTATGTAATTATATGCAACCCATGACTTGCCTGGAGAATGTGAAGGTTATGGGGCGTTTGGTCGCTCCTGATGCGATTCGCCTTTCGGTTGAAGTCCGATTGACTCCCTCCTGCGCTACCCTGAAGACTATCTAAAACATAGCGGTATACCGACGTCAGTCGGGTTCGTACTGCAGTCTTCTGTTCAAATTCTCCGAGTGCGTGCTTGAATTACCCGAGAACACCTGTGTTAGACCGGCACTGTTTCTTCTTCCGCTTTCAAATAAGTCATGGCTGTACGGCACTGAAGCATTGGTGTTGAGCACTGATGTCATGCTGTCGTTGATGATGATGATGCTGTTTCAACAGACGTTGCGACTGCATGGCATTGAATTTTGGCCTTCAAACTTCTGTTGTTCTTTGTGACATGGCGGTCGAGGATTTCGCTCATTTGTTTTCCTTCGCCCTTGCCCCCTCCGAGTTTTTCTCATTCCCTCAGTTTTACTTTATTTCGCGAATCCTTTTGAAATTTGTTCTGTGAAACTATTCTCAGCATTTGGTAATGCTTGTCAAAACCAAATTGGTATGCAAAGGAGTGTATTTCACTATTCTCGTGCAATTTGAGCTCGAGTAGAAGGTAAGATTGACGGAAAATCAGAGACTGCGCCTACTTGATGAGCCCCAAGCAGGGTGAAACTGGCCGTGGGCTGTCGAAGAGGTTTCAGCAACCTCATGAGTAGTGTATTACGCCCGTGTGTGTTTCCTATTTGTAGTGTATTACTAGTTATAAGGTTGGTGAATCTCCTTCGGCCTTTGTGCAATACGTTCAGTTGAATATCAGAAGCGAGAGATTCAACCAACATTCCACATTTTCATACTTACGAAAGTGCTTATTTGGGCCTATGTTATACCATTTTTATATGTACCCGTAATACAATTAAATCACTCTGTTACAGGCGCAGAGTCCCTGTTTAATGCTGCCTTGTTGTCAGCGACTTTCATGAAATGGGTCTTTCACAAAGTCTACGCAAGACTGAAAGTTTGGAATACCTGGTGGGCGCCCGCAATCCCTACCTTTTTGATACTCCTACGCGTAGCCCGACTGCGTCCAAGCCTTCTGACTCCCGCGACATACGTAAATGTCCAAGATGTGATTTGTCCTATAACCACACTTTATTAATCTTTCCGGCCACTTTGATGAATTGTGAACTGCGTGTGGTTTGCAACGGAACCTTGGAATTACTCACACATGAACTCATTTTCCGTGACCAGCTGCGTAACAGTTTATCCTGGCCGCTCGAAACCATCCGATGGTTCGGTGAAAACGCAAACTTCTTCGTTTTCGAGTCTGGTCGGACGTCTCCTTCTGGTGAGTTTAATAATATCTTTTGCACTCGAAGTCTTAAGACCTTTCCGATATATCTTGTGTCACAACAAGTCTACATAGAAAACAATGAATTCAGTCGGTCTTTAAGAGGCCGGGTCATGTCGTGCGCCCCCAGGAGCTACTTGAATTTGAGGATTTTTATGTAGTGCTCAACAGTACGGAAAAAATTGACAGTCTAATTCTCTAGCGTTTGTTTGCCCTTCATAGGCACGCTCTTGACGGTACCACTCTCTCACCGTGACAAAAGTTAAAACACTGGTGACTGGTTGACCACTAAGGGCTGATACAGACCTCACGGAGGTCATATATAGTTTCTGGGGAATTATCCTCGAGAGATGATAGCAAACTGACAAATTGCGGATTTCGTGTGATAGTAACTGTTTGTTCAGTCTGTGTACTTGACGCACATGATCAGACACGACCCCAGTTTTTGGGCACACTCATTTCAACTTGTGGGGGAGGCTTTTCCGCTTTATTTCAGTGAAGGAGAGAGAGATTGAGTAACCGTGAACGACAAACGATTACTAACCGAAGCCGGTAGACAGTGTGGTTTTGAGGACTTTGATATGTTTTAATCGTCATCATCATCACTATCATCATCGTCATTAGAGACAGCAACATCAGTGTTGACACTGATTCTTCACTGCCGTACAACCATAAAGTTCATCTTATCATATATAAAGCCGTAAAGTGAAGAGAAGAATAGAGGGCGTGACCTGTCGCAAGCATGCTGAGGTGTCCACACCTCCAAGCACTCGATCAGACAATCTGGAAAAAACTGACTGCTCGGACGCCATCGACACCGATCAGCCGCAATATCTCCAGCTAAACGCAGGAGGGGTCACTGGGTCCCCATCCTGCATCAACAACGTACAATTTATTGGTATCCTCTTTCACACCCTTCTGTCAAGTCATACTTTGCCCACCTCATGGTTTTCGCCATTCTGAAGGAGGCACAGAAAACGACACTAGTCTTGGTAGACGGGGCGAGATGGCCCAAGTGGTTAGATCGCGAATTTACTGACCGGAAGGTCCGTGGTTCGAATCCGACTTCCGCCTCTCGACTTCCCCTGTCTAGGCCTGGGCGACCTGGCAGTATCCCAGCCCTCGTGCTTCATCCGGGTGGCATGGCAGCTAGGCACCGGAAGGGTGTTACAGCTGGACGATTATTATTATTATTTTTTATTAGACGGTGTTTCATCATGCGTAGCAGATGTCTTAGCCACTGCAGTTATGGTGCTGGATTTTTTCCGGTATTGAAACACCTGGTTCACAACCAAATACCCGGTTTCTAATTATCTCGTTATAGACTTGTTAACGTCGTCCGACACCACCAACGCTTCTGAGGCATCGGTGACCAAAAATATGAAGATGCCTCATAATCTTTCCGCAGACGCCAGGTTTCTCATCCGTTCAACAATGCAGTCCTTACCGTAGCCTGGTACACGCGATCCCCGAGATCCAGTGGTATGACTTTAGAGCAACAATTAATGCAAATTAGTAAACGTGATTCGGGCCTGTTAACTTCGTCCACTGACTTCATCAGATACACCTACCGAGGTATGTAAAATTCTCCATAACCTCCAGTGATTCTCCTTGAATTTTAGGGGCTATGCTCGGAGACAGAACGTCATGAAGTATAACTTTCACTTTCAAGCCGATAGGTTGCATGATGGTGCTCAGTCTATTCAACAGGGTTTGTGCTTCGCTTTGATCTCCAAAGATGAAGGCTATGTCATCTGCGTACTCCAGATAGACAAGGCTCTCAGCAGCAACAATATGAACACGGGTTTTGAAGACGTTCCAGAGCTCGCCTCATTATTTCATCAATCACGAAGTCGAACAAGGGTGGAAAGAATGGACATCATTGCCGGACACCAATTTTTAGGGAAGCTTTTGGAGAGCTCACCATACACTCTCACACGCCCAGAAGTATGTGAATATAAGGACAGGGTTATGTTAACAAAATTCTTGGGCATACCCTGTTGAGCAAGTGTGGTTAACAGCGCTGACCGATCGACAGAGTCGGATGCATCCTTGAAGTCAATAGATACCAGGATTGCGAGTCGTCTGCACATGTGATGTTGCCCTAACACTTGACATAGTGTGAAGATGTCGATGCATCTTCTACCCAGTCGGAGTCCCACTTAATGTTTCGTTTTGATTATTTGTTTTCACCTCTGCGTTGTTTGGTCAGTCCTTCTGTCCTGAGTACAGTTTACACCAACAGCAAAAACACTATATTCACTCTTATTAGAGGTAGGCGTTAGTACGTGTTACTTGCCGTATGGACTAGCACTCCGTGTATCTGACATAGCGGTGCATATGACCGTTCGTCCACCAACACAATGAAAATACTAGATTTATTACGTCTAGACAGACGAATATGCTCACCTTTAAGCAAGGTACATGCTGAGCTCGACACATGGTTGTACTGACTGACCAAACCGCAATCTGGAACCAAGTTTTTCTAGTTCCGCAACTGCTCTCATTTACGCAGACATCCAATTGTCATAGGGTTACTCATTAACAGTTAGTCGATACAGTAGCTACCGGCATCTGGTACGAAACGGAGTTTTTCATTTTCACGCTAGACGTCGCTGGCTACAAAGGATTTTTGGAAAAAACGGTGGTTTTCTATAGCTAGCATAAACTGTGGCTTTCTTTTTCCGAAGCCGCTTTCATTTTACCGCTCGGCTGCTTCCACCAGATCCTTAATTTAATCAATCGTGTGGCTTGCCGTCTTTCTATGGATCGAGGAATGTGAAATTCTTGCAATAGATTTCAATTCTTCTCGTCTTCGTTGTTCTTGAGATTGGGACTATCCGTAAAGGTACGGTTGTTTTACTAACTGTTTGAACATACTCATTCTTACCAATTGATATCAACTTTGTGCGGACAGTTTTTTTGATCTGGAATTCCGTGTTCGGGCCTGAATGGTAGTGCAAACTAGAAACCAGGTGCACTGAAGTGTTTTGGGGTCATATACTATCCTCTTTGATAATATATCAGTCAGACACGTTAGTTCACCGGAATGGAGAAGACAAACAACCTCGAGGAAGTTGTACTGCGACAAATGGATCGTTTCGTGGTATGGAATTCAGCTGAACCAGAATATAAAAAGAGCTAACAGTCCAATAAGACGTCAGTGAGAGGCTGGAATGTAGAAGCAAGGTTTCAGTAGACAAGACAATTCGTTGGTAAAATCGATTCGTTCGTTTGGAGGTACTCCTAACAATATATATATATATATATAATTTTCAAGTGAAGGATTAATATGAACGTTTCATCAGAATGACTGTACAATAAAGGGATTATCTGGACGCGGCTTTCTCATTCAGCAAGCCGTACCTCGTGAGAAAGCGTATCCTCGCAAACGTGAACGCTGCTACTTCCCATAGTGTGTATTGCTGGATTTCGGCACATGCCATTCACTGTCATTCGCTACATGGGCCATAGTTCAGCAGGACAATATTTTTTTACTTCGGCCACCTCATTTGTGAAGATGAATCAGCTTATTGGATTTCTTGGCTGGCTATGGCTGCTAATCGACGTTAGTCGCGTTCCTGTTGTCAGTCTCTATCCTGAATGCCTGAATAAGTGTCTGGAAGGATGGTTCCGGTACGCTAGCGCTAAGCTTGTTCTCCATCCACTTGTATTCTTTTCTTCATAATGAGGCCTTCGTATGAATTATGATTTTACGACAGCTAAGTATCACTGCTGAACGGCGATGTTATACTATCCATGAGTATTATTGTTATCATCATCACCATTTGCTACTCAAATGCAGAGGTCGATGGCAAAGCTCTCATAGATATCGGTCTATTGGTATGGATAATCGGCAGTTTCTAGACCTAGTTATTCAGCTTCGGACTTCAAAGCGTCTTCAGCTGATCATTTTGATAATCTTTGCGCGTTTTAATATAAATCGTTCAGCTGTAGTGCCCTTTCGGTGCCTAACTGCCATGCCGACCGAAGGAAGCACGAGAGCAAGGATACTGCCAGGTTACCCAAGCCTAGACAGGGGAAGTCGAGAGGCAGAGTCCGGGTTCGAACCACGGACCTTCCGGTCAGTAGATTCGCGCTCTAACCACTTGATCCATCCCGCCCCGGACAAAATCAGAGTTGAGGTTTAATATGAAGATCAACTCTGATTTTGTACGTTTGTCAGTGGCTAGTCCGAATGGATGCCAAGAAAAGCGTACCAGCAGGCAACCAGTACGACGGCGCACGCAAACCCCTCAAACACCAAATCGTCAAGAGCCCACGGGATGACCGAGTGCTTTGGTGGACATCAAGAGCCCACGAGATAGAGAAGGCTTTTGCTACCGACAACTGCCATACTAATTGACACGATCTGGCTATAGGAAAGCTGCGGTTAGCGAAACAATAAGCGAAAAGATGGCTCAATAGTTCACTCGCAAAAATGCCAACTGGAAAGATGAGTCAGGTACTTTCAAGAACAGTTTAGCTGGCCTCCTGCAGCATACCCTCCGAGACCACTTCGTGCGTTCAAATGGAATGTAAATTTCAATCGCCCGTCAGAAGAAGATATAAGATGTGAGATATCCTTACTGAAACGTGAGAAGACACCAGGGCTGGACGGTTTATATCCAGCCTTCTCCAAATAATGCATAAAATCCCTGGTGACCCGTCTGAAAAGAAAACTAACTGATGTAATATGGAATGAAGAGAAAGCGTCTGAAGAATGAAGCACAATTATTCCCACCTTCCAAAAGGCATGTGGAAAAACCACCTCACTCTCTTGTCTTATCCTTCAAAGTTTGGCTGAACACAGAGACAGATACGTGAAAACCAAGCTGGGTTCCATCGTGCAAGAGGGTGCATCGGTCACATTTTCACCCTCGCCGGAGTTCACTACATCAAGCTGCCTGTTCTCTTTCACCTTTTCTCTTCAACTTCCTCATTAATGTGATCGTGGAAGACTCACTCGTAGTCTCTAATATCTATACGATGGAATT